TCAGCTGACAAGTTAGAGTTGGTGAACAAACGTGCGCTCCGTTTTGTTTTTAGAGATAAGTCCTCCCCTTATGAGGAACTTTGTAAGCGTATCGGTCTCTCAAGTCTTCGTGAACAGCGATTAGCGAAAATTTTGTCCACTGTCTTTAAGATATTAACTAGTGATGCAGGACCAAAAAGCTTACGTGATCTTATAACAGTTAGGTGCTCCACTTATAATCTTAGGGGCACCACAATACTGGACCTCCCAAAAGTAAAATCAACAACCTTCGGGTTAAGATCATGGAGATATGCTGCATCGAAACTATGGAACGCTTTACCGGACGAGTCTCGAAAGATACAGACATTTACTAGTTTTAAAAATTACTTAAAAACATTAGATCTCACGGGACTCTAGCGCGGTGAGGATCTATCTTTAATTATATTTCAACTCGGTGACTACATTATTAAATTCTTATATTTTAATATTAGCCTGTTTTTAATTATTACATTTTACATTTTATATATTCTAGTTCTCAATTCTTAATTTATTTAAATTTATATACCTTCACAAGGCTTTAAAATTTCCTCTTCTCTTTTTGTTTCGTGGCGTACCTGTAAACTAGCTTTTAGCTAAGCGTTCTGACCACGTTAAATAAATTGATTGATTGATTGATTGTGAAGAGATCTCAAGTTTCATGGTATCTATTAATAGGAAGCACGATGAAAATGACCAGGAAGAATTTCGGGACAACAGTTTTTATTCGAAACAGTCCTTGATTTGCTGTTATAAGCGTAAAACGTACGAATTTATTACGAGAGAGCTTATTCTGTCGCTTTAAAAACCTTGATATCCTGTAACTTTTGGGGTTCGATAAATACTAACAAACAACACATCATTGTTGTTTATTATTGCATTTATGGCCAGAACTTCAAGTAATTTATACTGCTTAGGAAGCTTTACACGACGAGATACCATCTTAGATGAGAAATATGCCATCAGGCCACCACCACCCTTTTTTCTATCCTTCCTATAGGTATGATATCCTTCAAGAGCCACCTGTGCATTGGTGTAAGAAGAGTCGATCTTAGTCTCTGGCAGAAAAATTACATGTGGCTTCAATTCCTTATTGAGTAATATCAGATCATCCAGTTTGTTTTGGCAGCTATTGATGTTTCGATGAATCATCATGAGATCGGTAGTGTTCTGTTTCCTTTCTTGTATTATCCACGATTCAGGCAAGTCATTAGCATATCCAGCGATATCCTCATTTGCATATTCGCCTTCGCCGCCATGTTGAATTAGATTTTCTTCTCCAACCAAAGTTTACTCAAACCTAAAAGGAAGCGAGCATAGGGAGCAGGTCCATTCAATATCTGGGTAGTCCAGGTAGTACTGACTTGAAGCCGGCTTTGCTCAGGTGTATGCACTTTGCATGCGACCAGGCATTACACTCAGCACATAGCAAAGCATCTTGATTCGAGCGAACTCCTTTCCCACACTCCTTGCAGGGGTATTTTGGGGTTCTCTTTTCCGTTGGACCTGGGTTTTGTGGATATCCCCTCCGAGAATTATTCGGCTGAGTTGTTGGGTTCTTGTTTCGTTAGCAGTGTACAGGAATCTTGAAGCGAAGTAGGATTTCCTTCTGCCCGAACCCGCTCTCGGAGTTGCCCAGCTTCTGCCCTTATAAAGTTCATTTCTACGTCTAAAGGAAGGAAGGAAGGAGGACCAAGTAAGTTTTTTTTTTTTTTTTTTTTTTCTACTGTGATTGGGATTTGATTTAAACTCTATTTAATATAGACTAAGAGGTGCCCCCTTTTATAGCTTCCCCACTTCCAAGAGAAATGTTTGTGGTCACAGTTAACTTCAAACCTAGGACGGAAGGTGGACTATTATCTTTATCATGTACATATTTCCGTTTTCCCATTTTGCCTGATTTTTAAACCATTACTAAGTAACCGTTTAAATTTGTCTTTAAAATATGGCGAGTGGTTTGCAGTCTATCGTCTTTAAAAGCGTCCGACTTCCTCTTCAGTATTTGTGTGAACCTCCTGGTTTCTCTTTTTTGTTTTGTTAAGGACAACTAGGAAATGTACCAAGATTTAAATCGTACGTGCTGAGCAATTATTCTTCTCATTAAACCTTTTGTTTCGCCACTTTCTCTTTTCCATCGTCGCCCAGGGTTGCGTAAGGTCCCTAGCATGTGGTGCAGGCAAAGAATTTTGAGTTGGGTAACGCGCTAATCTGGTTGCGATTAGTGTAATAGCCCATTTCCGAATTACCCTTGGCCTCTTTTTCAAAACGAGGCCTGGTACTCAACCATTCTTGTGAAAACTTATTATCATATGAAAGGGCGAGCACCAGGACTCGCTTTGAAAATGAGGCCAAGGGTAATTCGGAAATGGGTTATTAATATTGTTGCTCTTATGTTCTTCTTCTTCCAGGTACTGTAAAGATCAGGGACAAGTTTGAAATGGAGTTCTGAGTATTTTGGTGAGTATAGTTGTTGTGTTATTGTGGAACCTTCCAAACAATAATCTTTGTAATTCGTTGGAATTTACCATTTTGGTCATTTGCACCAGCAAGTATTTTCAGATTCTTTGAGCAGTAAATTGTTTTCCATCGAATCATAAATATGAAATTCTCAATGGTTCTTGCTCACATTTACCTCCTCCAGAGATTTGCGCCCTTTTTCTGAAGTACAATACTCATCTTTTGAAATATTTATTGTTATTAATTAATCTTAAACAGTAGACTTGGACAAGTTAGGCTGTACAGATGTTTTACTGATTTATCGCCAGTTACAGATGACGGGAAAAGATTATTTATGTTATTTGTGTTGGACAGTTCCCTTCAGATTGTAAGAGGAAGACAGAAGAAAATGGATGGTCCAAGAAATAATAGTTTGTGAAATATTTAGCCTTGAGAGGCGAGACATTCAGGCTTCAGTTTGACATGAACTCTTTGTTTAACATCTTACGACCATCATCCTTGCATATTTGGAAAAGCAACAGGATGCCTTTTAAGAAGATTCCCCAGCCTAATAAGAGGGTCTTAATAGGGTTTGACCGTCAGGCGTCAGAGAGCTTAAAATGTAACTGTCAGCCGTTAGGGACGACCATTATAAGCAAATAACAAATCTGAAAATAGCTGAATATTTCATGTAATACGCAAGTGTATTAAGACAGACATTTGCTTACAGAAAACGCATGCGTTTTTGAAAAATGTCTGTACCACAAAGTAGAAAACTTATTGAAATACTTTACAAATCTGTCTGAAATGTGGGCGACGTGGGGGAGGTTCGTTGGGTGAAAATATAACTGTCTTAAATTATTGTAATATTATAACTGTCTTAAGTAATAATAATATAACTGTCTAAAACTATTGTAATATTATAACTGTCTTAAATAATAATAATGATAATATAACAGCAGATTTATCGCATCCATGAAAACGACAAGAAGCGGCTGTACTCAAGGAGAGTGTTGGATGTTGAGCATGGCTCGTTCACGCCGCTTGTATTTACAACTACGGGAGGGGTGGGGATGGAATGCATAAGATACCACAGCCGATTGGCCGAGCTGATAGCCGCCAAGAAAGGGGAACGATACTCGCAAACAATTTCCTGGATCTGAGCAAAGACATCCTTTGCCCTCCTTCGGTCGGCCTTAGTTTGCCTTCGAGGATCGCGGGTGAAGCGCCGCGCTGCGTATGACCATAATAATTGTGACGTTGAAATCGCAGCTGCGAGGGAGCCATTGACATTGTTTAATGCTTTTTAGCAGCCTTGTACATAGGGTTCTAGATTTGTCATTCACCTTTCTCTTGTCTGTATATGATTGTATAAATTGACGTATAAATTGACGGGGTGGGAAGGAGGCAGGGGACGGATCACCCCCAATTTTTCAATCGTGTTTAGCTTCTTTCGAAGATTGATATTTGTCTCTGGTCTCGAGCTGATCGGGTTCCTGGGTTGGTATCCAGTTTTGGGTGGTCGAAGAAACCTGTGAAACAAGGATATAAAAATTAATACCATACTTTACCAGACTTTCGGAATACAAACGGAAACACACAAACGGAGACAAAATTTTGAACCCCAATTTTTCGTTTGGTTGACATTCTTCCTCACTCCCTTACTTGAGATGGCCATTTCTCATGACATCTAAAAGCTATGATAAAGAGAGCTTCAAAGAGGCCATACAAACATTTCCCGCCAGAAGACTTAAAAAATTACTGCATGGATACCCAACCGTACTTGACAAGGAAAAAGTTGACGGTAGTTTCCAGCCTCCCATTTAACACTTCTTTTCACGGTTGAAATCTTTCTTTGCCTTCTTTCGTGAAGGGGGTAGAAAGAGGCGAAGAGAAATAAACGAAATTCTCAATTTCTATAATGTTATTTTAGATGGCTACATATAGAAATTACAAATTTCCATTCAACTATACTCACCAAGTTATTAAGTATCCTGGTCTCCTTGACCTTTTCAACTAGTAGTCTTTGCTTTACTGGCAAGAATTACATGTAAAAAAAAAAAAAAAACGCAAGATGTTAAAGAATTCCTACTCCGCTGGACGACTTAAAAATTATTTACTTCCAAACGAAATTCTACATACAACAAAAGATAAGAAAAATTTCTTTTCAACTTGACAAAAACTAAGTGAAAGGTAAAACAATTTCAAAATAAAAGGCCTGGTTCTACTTTGAATAACATTCTCCTCAAAGTTGAATGTAAATGTGCAGACCAACTAGACTGCTCAGAAATAATCCAATAACGTTTCATTAAAAATTTTTGAGTCTTGTCCGTGGCATAATGAAGCACACAGCTCGTAAATTTCAGGGATGAATATAAACGACAAAGTAAGGGTAAAAACTTACTCCAGTTTGCTCCCGATATCCATCTGAGAACTTGCAAGCAAACTATCACCAAAGCCATCTCACCTCTCGACTTCGTCTTTACCTTGATGAAATGGAGTATGCAAAAAAACGAAAGACAAATGGAAATTTGGATTCCTTTAACAACAACAAGTGAGTTGGCCAACTGCCAAAAGGCAACACATGGTTTTTATGATAACTTTTCACCGCCTTCGCAGTGTTTGATCATTTGGCACAATGGTTTGGGACAAGGTAAGAAATCTAAGCTTCATATCAAAAGTTCATATGGAACCTGAGAAAATTTCTTTAACCAATTTTTTCGCGGAAATATTGGAAAGGATAAACTTTTTTTTGGGTCCAAGAAGAACGATTTGCAACAATTGTTCTTTATGCCTTGACGTAAGTTGTTTCCGATAAAGGTAAAATTGGCGAGACCTATATAAAAGAGGTGCAGCACCCTTGGAAAAAAAAGGTAATTTTTTCATAGGTGTACGTTATGACAAATTAAACGCTTTGCGATAAAAAACCAGTAACAATACCTTTCTTGCGTTCACAGGTCTGTTCAACACTTGACGACATCAAAATTCTTAAAATTTACATCAACTAGTTCTATGTCCTATAAGTCAAAGGCATTGAGGCGACTTTTGAAAGTACCCCACAACCTTACGTTGTTCTATTTTCGGATCTTTTCGATATGGAGTAGTGGTTAAGTATCCAAGTTTTGCGAATAATCTGAGTTTTTGAGAATCGAAACTGGAGTGTGATTAAAGTCTAGCTATTTTTGTTGGCTAAATATCTGTGGATCATTTGGGTGAAAGAGTCTGAAAGGCCGAATGCACTGCGCGATAGATACACTTAATTCGATAATAATACAAATAATAACCGCGGAAATTTTGCAGGTTGCGTAGTTTTTTTTTACTGAGCCCCCTTATCGCTACGGAAAGTACGAATAACAAGCAAAGTGTTCCCATGTGTTATGTTTTGAAAAATTGTAAAAGGGATTTATTAAGAGATTTATTATCCCACTATTACTTCTGCAGTTACTGGAGTTACTGTAGTTTCCGAAATGCGTCTTACGGCCTCATCTGAGCATTGTGTTGATCGCATAGGGCGTGCGCAAAAGACCAAAACAAAGGAAACTAGGAGAGTTTTCTTTATGACCAACAAATAGTTTGATGTACTTAATATTATTTAAAACCATTAGATCGTTCGGTGTGGCTAGTTTGTTGCTCCACCATCCACCGCCCTAATAGGGTTAATTAATTGGTTTTCTATTGGTATAATTTTTCTTCCAATGTGTGAATAGCAGGAATAATAAAATGACAAATATAGGGAAACATGACGACATAAAAAACGAACTGTTACCTTCATCCAAATGTCTTTCCTCTTGACAGTATGCCAAACCTTTGGATCCAACTGCTTCTAGCTTCATGATGAGATGGAGCTATCCAAAATTTTTTGTTTAGAGTATTTCAGAGGGGATCGACTTCTCACTGGTATAGCATCTTCAATCCAACAGGACGTGATTAGCTTGCCATGAGAAAACTACCGGTATCTCTTGTGCACAATTCGAGATCCGTTCAGCGCAGCAAGACAGTCCAGTTTCCACAACAATTTTCACACACTTCTCTTTTGTTTTTCGGTGGACCAGGTCTTGTCATCCCAGATCAAGGCCGAGGAAGAGACTTTGTGGGTGAAGCTGACTCCATTACTGGGTCAGCTATTAGTCACCCATCTCTTGTACACAGTTCAAGATCCGTTCAGCGCATTAAGACAGTCCAGTTTTCAAAACAGTTTTCACACACTTCTCTTGTGGGTGAAGCTGACTCCATTTTTGGAGCAACTGTTAGTCACCATCTCTTGTACACAGTTCAAGATCCAAAACAGTTCAGTTTCGTAAAAAGCTTTCTGTCTTTTCTTGAATTATTCCAAGTTGCAGCTACGAGTTCAAACAACCAGCCAAAAGACAAACACCCATGTCACCTAAGTAGAAAACAGTGAGAAATGGTTAATCAGGGCTCTACCCTATCGGTAGCCCACTAGCCACAGACTGGTAGAAATTCAGTTTTGGCTAGTGGTTTTTATTTCCACGAGCCAGTTTGGCTAGTAAACAAACTGAAATTGTCGTAACATCTGAGATGTCACCAGCCACTTGGCTAAATAAGTTGAAAAGTTAGTGTTTAGCCCTGTTAATAACTATTTAAAATGCATTATTAATTTTAAGTTGACAGTTCCTCAATACAGATGGGCTTCTGGTATTAAATGGGTTGGGGGAAGTGGAAAATAAAGGAAGTCAATTAATCAACATGATAATTATTGTAGAATAGTGAGATCTGAAACAGAGTTATCTGGTTGCAACCCTCTTAATTATAACCAATGTAAATTCCATCATAATGATACATTTTTAAATAACACACAACTTAATAGGAAAAAAAATAATCACCTCTAAGATTTGGTCTAGAGAAACATGAAAAATTGTATAAAAAAAGCACAGAAATTTTGAAACAGTCAGTCCTTTTTCTGGTCTAATCATTGCAAAAACAATATGCCAAAACCCCTCCCTAAAACATCATCTATTCAAAAACGTTTGTCTTGGAATCAAAATAAATGTTTTCCAAGTGTGTACCACGTGGCAACTAAAGCTTCTTTTTCAGTTGCTGTATGGGAAAATATGGTCTGCCAAAATTAATGTTGTGTGGGGTTGTGGATATTTTCACTCGCTCCTAATTCAAAAGTAATTGCCAGGAGTGCAAATGTAAACATGAAAAAAAATAATGACAAAGTATCAGCTTAAATCCAACTATAGGGTGGGCTCACAATGACTGTGACTGGAATTTTGAGCCAGTAGTTTTATTTTCATATTTTCCTTCAGGTAATAAAGTTGATCCTATATTTAGATAACTAAGGCCCATGCACAAGCCATGACATGGTTGCCAGAGTGATAACATTTTTAAGTCCCAAACTCTTCTTATAATAATTGGTTGAAAGGGCATGCTCTACAAGAGTACAGTGCTGGGAGCTGAGCTAAAGCTGTCATGCCATCTGCCAATTTGTACTACAGGTCCAGCTTATTTTCCTTAATTGAAAGTGAAATTTTGGAATAAGCAAGCCAGTAAGTAGCAACAGAAGAAACAAACAAAGGTTTGAGAACACCCTAAGCACCATAATTTGCAGTTTTGATGATGCGTCCAGAGACAAAAATCCTCACCAAAGAAAACAAAATGGACAGTCTAAGGTTTGAAGGTTTTCATGCTCAGTTGGATTGTAAACCTACTGATGGTATAAAAATTACCTTTGTGTTCTAAAACAATAGAGAACAAAATAGCCGTGTTCAAAGCTTAGCCTCAGAAATTTGCATTGGCCGCCCTTTGATTGAATTGAACTAAGAGCTTGCTCTAATATCCTTTCTGATGCATTGAGTGGAAGGCCACATCAGTCGCAGCAGCTGAGCTTTGCAGCATTGTCATCCCGAGAAATCTTCTTGTTCCTGTGAATTCCACTATCATTCACTTGAGCAGCTTTTTTCTAATTGTCATGTGAAAAAAAACTTGCATATTTTCAAGAGCTGCAATTCAGGTGGATTTCTCTGAACATTTCACTTTCAGATTGTGTATTAAGACTAAAACACTTCAGGCAAAAGTGATTAATTCGACCTGCCAAACTATTTCAGCCTATTGCAGATTGTGAACCTTAAAAATTTGTGAACTTCGATTGTTAGACATTTTCGACAGCTTTGGTCTTGTTCAACCAATCATATTACTTGAACCATTCTAAAAAGGATTCTGATTGGCTTATCGTGACCTTTATGAGAGTAGAGAACATGCTGATGATACTGTTGTTTGCTTTGGAAATAAACTTTGTTTTGAAAATTGAAAATAATAAATTGAAAGCTGACAGTACTAAATACAGTCAAACCTGCATTATGTAGTCACCTATGGGAAATAGCAGGGTGACCCCTTACAAAAGTTTGAGTGCTAAATACAAGTTCCATAGAATAAGGTAATAGAGAAAAAAATTAATGATATAAAAAAGTGTCATTTGTGCCATAACAGACCTCTTAATGTACAAAAACTTGCTTGAAAATAATACTAAGTACCATTGACTTTGGGAGAGAAACATGGATTAAATTTTACTTGAAATATTATTTTTAGTTTTATTTATTAATAAGTGGTTCTGCTTTAAATGACCATTCAGTACAAGTGGAAGATGATACAAACAAGCCATTGGGACTCACTGAAAGGTGAGCACAGCTGCTAAATGGAGGTGAAAATTACTGTAATTTGTGGGTAACAAATTCTGCGCTTTGACAACTGACCACTTAATGCAGAACGATTGCTTAACACATTCATGATCTATCATCCTGCACTGCAGCAGGTCATCATTGTACAACACAAATTTTTAATCAGCCAAATATTACTTCAGTGTACATGTAGCTCTACATTACAATGCACGAGTTCCTGGACTTATGATCCCATTGAAAAATGCTTTTTTGGTTCCATGCTCCAAAATCACAGGAACCAACTGGGAAATATCATGGGAAAATTCATCACCTGAGAAGGGAATTCCGGGTGAAACTGCACACAAAAACCAATATTGCATGAATAGAATCGCAAAAGAATAGGTGCGATATCGCTTTTTGAGTGCAATTTAACCACAGATTCATAAGTCAGGTAATGGATTTTCCTTGAATTGCATGATTGAATAAAAAATAAAAACCAGCAACAACATTGTTTGTTCTTATCCTGAGTGCTGCAAAACAAGAGATCAGAAACAATATCACTTAGCTTTGTTTTTCAACTTGCAAGTCTAAGCTGAATAATCATCTGGCTACCTTAATCAATCAGAATGCAAGATTATATTCATTAATATGTGATTCTATCTGATAGTTTGAAAATAAATGAAAACCTCATGTAAATATCAGTGATTAAATCAATAACCTGTGAAAACGGGCTTGAAAAAATTTATAATTTAATTAATAGTTGACAAATTCGCAACAGGTTATGTTAAGAAAGGTACTTTTGGAGCCAAGGTATGGTAGAAATTTAACCATTTCAACACCAAATCTTGCAATTGAAAAGTTAAGTCTAACCAGCTAAATTTGATTTGGTAAGAATAGGCTTTCATTGAAGTAATTAATTTCAGAATGTGTGATAATTATGGATTGTGTTTTTTAAGTGAACGCTTACAGACATTGTAGATAAAAGCAGAAAACCAAAGGAGTTAGGCCTAGTTTATACGTCGCGCTACAGTCGAATTTAATTCAGACGAATCTAATTCCATTAAATTCGTCATTCCGTCGACGTAAATCATGGCGTGGTTTTATGCGTCGAAATCAATATGATCGAATTTATTTCTCTTCCCAAATGCAGTGCCTCTGGTCAGAGGTGTAATTTGGAAACAAACATGGTGCAGTTGAAATACATTGAGAAAATGTATCCATTTCATTTGACGCAATGCTAGTGCGATGTTAAAACTGAAGACGTGTTATTGATATTTTATCCATCTTACCAAGACGGATAAAGCATCAAGGACGAATTTAATTTACCAGACGAATTTAATTCGTTTCAGACGTTGCGCTACCGTCAAATTTAATTGCTTGTGGGACATTGAATTAAATTCGTCTGAATTAAATTCGACTGTAGTGCGACGTATAAACTAGGCCTTAGTTTTTCCAAGAAAATGTTTGCATGGGAAAGCCACTGTCTTATGTTTTTCAAGTGCTTCCCCCTTCCCTCTTGAGCAGTTTTGGCTGGGTATGTGGATAAAAACAATTGACTATTAATTTTATTTGACCAAACAATAGCATGAACTCTGCTCACCAACACATTTTTCTGATAAAATGAACAGTTCCATTTTGTTTTTTCTTCAAAGAAATTTTCAAAGGGTGAAAACTTAACTGATTGCATCAACAACAGGAAACAAAATAATTTAAAAGTGTTTTAAAAAAAACTACATTAGAGTCAACTGACCCTCAGGAACCATCAATACCATTCTCTCTTGCTCAAGGACAGTTTGTGTTCCTTCACTGTTTTATGTCTGCCCGCTACAAACCCAGCGCCTCTCGTGTTTTCAACCCTTGCTTATAACCCACTGAGGGGGACTTCGCTTCCAATTTCTCCTTACAAAACACCCCTGAATCACACACTGAGGTTAGAAGAATAAAGAAAATGATCACTTAAGGTCTTGATTGTTCAACATATTGTTGTTAACAGTACCATAGGAAATGTATGGATAATAATTTTGCATACAGATGTATACAGATTAGCATGTAAAGGGCTAAAATCGCAAAACAGAGCGCGCACGTGATCAAGGTACTAAAATATTATTTGAATTTCCCGCAAAACGCTCAGATAACATGATAATATTTCAACAAGGCTACAAGCTTATTCAGAAGCACAGAATACAACTTGTTATAGAAATAAATTGGATGGAAAAACGAATTTCCATGCAGTTTTCGAGTTAAAGTCGAATTGAGAACGAGCTTAATTACCAACAACACACTTGATCTCCATTTGATGTTCTGCAACCAGTGTTGCCATTGTTCCATCCAAAAACCCCAGCACGAGAAAAAAATATGTTCTGAGAGGCAGCTGATACTCGCATGGCCACCTTTCCTCTGGTTTTGTATTAAAAATAATTAGATTTGATCATCACTACCTCATATCTCTGGCCACGTCGCCATGTTGGCTTTACTACCCTTATGCCCAGTTTTTCTCGGCAAAACGCGTCACGCTTCACGCGAAATTGCGAGTCTTCATAGCGTAACATGAGATTTATTCATTTAACGGCTCACGGCTAGAGGAATAAGATAAATATGGTTTATCGAATGTTGATGGCAGGATATACTTTTGATTCATGGACACGAGATTTTGATATTACTATATTCGCGAGCGAGCGAGCTTGGGAGAGGGAAAGCTTTAGGATTAGCTCGGTTTTTCGGTTTTGGTTTTGTTGCAGTTTGCGGATTTTCCCTTTTTTAGCATTTGTTTTTCGATCTTCGGCAATAAAAATGCAAGCGGTTTTTCGAGATTGGTACACAATAATTTCCTCTTTAGAACGGGGAAGTTCCCGCCGACGATTTAAAAAAGTAACAAAATGTACCTGTTTGTTTGGTACGCACTGTTTTAATGGTGTTTTAACTGAACAAAAACAGTGATTTTGTCTAGCTATTTTGAGTATACAAGATATGAGGAATATTAGAGACTGGGTGTTCCATACTCACAATGTTCCAAAGAGAATCCTAGAAAAAATATTTTCAGACTCAAGGTATCTGTTCTACTGGGAATAATGTTACTTATAATCCACTGAGTGTTTTGGTTCACACGCGATTGCATGACAAAATGTGCTCTAGCTAAACTAAGAAATTCACTAGCCAGTAAAGTTTTAGTTCCAAGCGTACAAATGTTTGAAGGATCATGAATACAATGCTCCTCTCGCAGTTTTCCTAAAGCCTTTCATTAGGAGAAACTGTTTGCAACTTTCAACAGCTATTGTCCGTTGACAAATGTCCCAGCATATTTTGTAAGATCCTTCCGGAATCTCAAAAAACACGTGTGACTTAAACATAACATAAAATAAAAATATTAAGGGTGATTCAGTTTGTTAGCTTTTATGCCTCTTGCATAATTCTTTTTTCTCAAAAAATTTCAAACTGTTTCTTTTATAAGAAACAGTAAATACTCTGAAATTCATACAGAACGAGCCAAAACGTTTGGTGTTTCTCAGGTTTTGTATTATGGATTTAACCTTGGAGTGGAGTATCGATATGCCGTACCCCTCCACGATAGCAAAAGGGACAAGGACGACGCAAAGAAACACCGTTTACTGTTCGACGCCTCGTATGGATGGGTGCATGGAGGCTGGGGAAAGTGTAACGTGCACTGTGGAGGAGGTAAGGCAAAAGAATGGAAATCATTTTTTCTCTTTTAGGTTTTATCACGGCACTGACCAGTAACTGAAAACGCTAAGTTGAACAACTTGCTCACTTTGAAAATCGTTTTCACCAGAAATTTCGAGAGTATAGTACGAAACTGAACTCTAACACACCAAAACGATGAACTTATCCGCAAAAATTCAAAAGTAAGCTTATACTATGTTACATTAAACTGACATTATTTGAAGAACTCTATCGAAAAATATCGATTTCTATGGGGATATTACAACCTAATAATAGCATCCTTCATTGAAATTCGTCTGGGCTTTACTGTTGAAGAGAGGCAAATTTGGGACTTGATTGTGAAGACATTCCTTTGGTATTCATGGTCTTTTATAATCATTCCGGTTAGTGTGAGAATGGAGTACATTCCATAGCTGCACTTCATAACTCATTTGCTATACACTGTGGGGGGATTTGTATCACACCCTACGCATTGAAATTGTCAGTCTAATACTGTGATGCTGTCATTTAAAAGTTCAAGGTTGACTTTCAGTTCTTCGTAAATTTTTTCAGAACTTTAATCTTTTTTTTTTT